TTAGGACATATAGAAGTGATAGGAACACTAAATGATTAGTGGTGTAGTTTAATCTGATCAAATATCAACAGGCCCCCATTCATCCCAATAGAAGTTGCTCAGTGGGGCATGAAGCCAAAATCGGACTGTTTCAGTCCACAGTATGGTATTACTCTGATGACCAGCGCTGCTTCCACATCATTGAGCCCATAGAGCAGGTGCACTAGAGACTTACAGCCCCGAGCAGGGCTACACGGTGAGTGGCTTCCAGTTTAGCACTCCGCTAACTTGAATAGGGTAAAAACAATTAAAGCTTGCAGCTCCTTTAGACTTTCGAAATCGGACCAAATGGATCAAATCTTGATAGTGGAACGAGTCATTCTGTGGGGGTTTGTAACTGAAAAAAAAAAAACATGTATCCACTGAATTATAAATGTTTCTTTCCCAGTTTTAGGCTACGGAAAAAGTCTTTTTGGGCCCAATAGCATCATGTGACGGACCCCGTAAGTCGTAGTACCACTGTCTGGCCAATACGAAAATTGGCTTCAAGGCTTGGCACACTTCTGGGGGCCTGGTAATGCTACATTAACAGAGAGTTGACTGCACAGCTGAAACCAAGCTGACAAAGTGTACGGTGAAAAAAGCACCACACTCACCAGCAACATTCAGTGTCCAGCTGATCCGCTCCCACAAACTTATGATAGAAACAAAATTTTCTTACACATTGTTTAAAAAAATTATGAAAATATGTTTCCACACATCTGAGGATAATAGCTGTTTTTGAATCAGCTGTTATATTGATAATTTTCTTTTTTCAGACACGTATTATTTACATTTGAAAATATTTTGGCCCCAAAAGAAGCAGACTGAAATAATTCAAACTTCCATTTAGTCGATGTCCCCACAATGTCTCATGACAGAGGAGATACTGTGTGAACTTGGACCTTGAACCTCCATCATTACTGAATCACAACGCTGCAACTGGGCTCAAAATTTTGATTAAAGCCTCTTTTCTCAGTAGTTAGGTTGAGGAGGATTAAACTGTGATACGTCCGTCTATAGTATGTTCAGCTGATGCTCTCTGATCCAGACAGACCTGCTGAGACCAGGACACGTCTGAGATTACAGAGAGGACTGAACTTTGTCTGAGGCTGACACAGATTGTGGTTGTTTCATAAGAACACTCACCAATCTTTATATTTTCCTCTGTCTATAAAGGGTTTCTAATAAAACATTTGAATCTGTGTTGTCCTGTGTACACAGAGTGGCAGCCTGGTTTCTCTTCGGCCTGATGAAGCAGTGATGTGTTTTTTTTTCTGCTTCCAGCGAGTAAAAAACAAAACGAGTGTGAGTTTAAACTCCAGAAGGAAATGACATCAGCTTTCTCTTCTCCTCTTCAATTATCCACAGCTAGCCTGTTTAGTATTTAAAAGCTCGGCTCATTTCACATTCATGAACACAACACACTGCTGGCACCACGAGTGCGCTCTGGAAACGCACACCGACTACGCCGACTCTCGGTCTTAAAATATGGATGTGTAAATCAGATGAACTGGCGATGTGTGTGCACAATATGGCCGCCTCTCTGGCAGGATGAGCGGGAAGAAGACTTGGGAGAATTACAAGAAACTGTACGACATTATGATGCAGCCACCTGTCGGGGTTCAGCCTCACGATGCCTTCAGGGACGCACAGTTTTTGTTGTCTCCTATCAATCAAACTGAAGTCAGATGTTCATGTTTCTTCATTCGATTTGTGGAATGTGTCTGCTGATGCTCACAAAACACCAAGTCTGAGATTTAAAGGACCAAACCATAGTTTTTACAGTTTGCTACTGCAAATCTGAGTACTTCACTTCACTACTGACCATTTTACAGATCATGTTGTACTGTGTGTTTTTAATTATTATATCCTGCAGAAGTGCTCTCAGGTCATATCTACATTATTTAATTTTGTTACCGTCATTACAAAAACTAACTCCTTTCCTAACAAATGATTTCATATTGTTGTATGGAGATGCTTTTCCTTTTAACACACCAACAATATGACATTTGGATAAAATTAAAACAAGATTTTTCTCTTATAAAAATATGAAATTATCATGAACAGCATCTCAAATCTGTGCTTTGATTTTTCTTTTATCATTTTATTCTTTATTTAATTTTCTAACCACATTTTAAATTAATAAATAATTGTTCTTTTTCTATGACAATTTACTTGCGTGCAAAGTTGCTGGCAACAGATCATGTTGGAAAGGTTACTTTTGAAATGTAATAGGTTACAGATTACTACAGGGTGTCTACAGTTACATTAAATGCTTTTTACGACTCGTTCAAGACACATTTTAACTACATTAAGGATAGATGTTTGGACAAATCATGTTTTACTTTTTAAAACAATACAGGTCAGTAGTATATATGTGGTCTTGTGCAGAGGTAAGAGTTATGTAGGAATATAGTTATTAGAGTGTATTAAGTCAATCTACATTTTACCAACAGGTAAGTGCAAACATGAAATAAAATAACAGTGTCGTAGTTTTTTAAAGATTTGTAACATTAGAAAGGTGGACTTTTACATAGAAAGACTTCACTCATTTTGACAAAAAGAAATTTAAAAAATGGATGAAATTAAAAAAGATAAAATGCTCAAAGTAGTTAAGACCTCACAAATTCAAATGTAGGGCTATTTAATGGCTTTGAAGGCCTTATTGTTATAACTTTTTAAGGACCTGCAGACACCCTGTACTAGTTATTCAGTAAGAAATGTTATAGGTAATGTAACTATTTCATTACTTCATGAAAGTAATGTAACTTATGACATTAGTGTTGCATTCAAATTTGTCCCACTGACTTTGATGACCCGCGAGAGACGACATTCCTGCACAGTGAGAAGATGCAAAGCAACAGAATCAATGTAACATTATATAAACTATTCAGATGTAACTCATTTGTAATGATCAACATTTTGTACTGTAACTGTAATTCAATTACATATTTTTTTCTCAGTTATTGTATTTTTAATTAGGTAACTCTGTTACTAGTTACACGACAGTGTAAGAAATAATCCACTACAGCCAATATTGTGTATGTTAATATTATTTTATATGTGTTAGTTATGTAACTGTGGCACTGTGATGCTTTTATAATAACAGATGGATATTAGAAATCCACATTGTGTTGATTTTAACAACAATAAATTCAGACATGATGTTCACTGAGATGGATTTGATAACATGAGCATCAGGTATCACGTCTCTGTAGGTGAAATTTCTTTCTGTACTGAAATGAAAGCAAAGTGATGGACACCTGGGAGGACAAATACATCAGTCAAAAATTAAATGAATCACCAAATGAAATTCTTTCCTAGGAATCCTTTTTTTGCATTTTGGTCAATTTATTTTACCAAAATATTCCCATTGAGATTAAAAATCTCTTTTGCAAGGGAGTCCTGGCCAAGACACTGTGCAGGATGTCTGGAACTGTATCGTAAAAATAAAGCATCTCTGGAAACGTCTGTTCACTGATGCTTTATTTTTCTGCTCTATGTGTCTTTGTACCATCTGATTATTGAGGAACACTTGGTTTTGTCCTTGTAATGGATCCTGTGTGATTTGGATTAAAACATGTCGGACTGGTCCTTTAAACTCCTGCAGGCCCCTGCAGCATGTTTCTGAGGAGAACACACTCTAATGGACAACAAGATAACAACAGGCTCTATTCACAACACACCTCCATATAAAAGCAAAGCTTGCAGCTCTTGTCAGTCGTATCTGTAAATGGAATCACAGATTAGCATTGCAAAAGGAGGCAGCGGCCGGACCGTCCATTGTAAGCGTCTCGTCTTGTCCCTCCTCTGCGTTGGGCCGCCGTCAGAGGAGGCGGCGCCTCCAACAAAGACCAGAGCAAAAGGAAGGAAGCGGTGATAAACTGGTGTTAAACAGAAAGCCTGAACACGCTCGCCTCTTTCACGGCCCGACGCAATGACATTTACTTATCGCACTAAACAGCCTTCCATCTGACCTTTCTGCTACTTTGAATGACATCTGGATATTCTGACGGAATAATCGGGACAGTAAAAGCACCGATTTAAGAGAGAGATAAGAAGTCTTTGGATGGTTTGACTCTGGACAGCAGACAATGAGTCTGAAGGACGAGCTGGAGAGAAGAGGAGGATTGACACATCGGGGGGAAAATGTTTACTTCACTTTCAGCGTGTAGAAAACTGTTTACAGTGAATAACAAACCTGATCCTGGTCGGTATAACCAGGCCTTCAGTCTAAAAACCTTAAACCTTCACGTTAAGCTCTTCTTCAAGCCCAGAGAACTTTGGTCCAACATTATAAACTGTTTTAAACATGTTGTTTGTTCACAGAACTTTACTTTAAATTCTCAAACCTAAAGTTTCAGTCTCTGCTGCATTTTGGGTAAATATGACTAAAACTATGCACAATGAGGAACATTTTCATCTGATACCATGATGCAGAGACAGAAAGAGAAAGATGTTTTTTGAAACATAAATGCTGCTAAAGTGGAAATTTAAAGGGGAAAATCTGAGTTTATAAGCTGAGGATGGCGCCCAATAAACCCTTGAACATTCACTTCATAATATATCAGAGTAAGGACTTTATTTTGTCTTCTTACTCCAAAAACCTCTAACAACATCCTCTTTAACAGGTAAAACTGTTCAGTTCTCACACTCTCCTTTAAAACAGGAATGTGCCCAAAATTATCGAGCAAGGACGACAAATTCTCCCACACAAGGCCAGAACAGACTGTGTGAGTAAAGCCTGTGGACGTTTGTGACAGTAACAGCTAAAACATTAAGTTTTTGTCACAAATGTACAACTTTTCACTCAAAACTATTCTTATCACACGTAGCTTTGTATAAGATATTCAAATCCTGACATGAAATCCAATAAACTTCCCAGTTTGATGGCAGAAAGATGTAGAGATTTGAGTGTTCTCCAGTCACAGGACGATCAGACATCGCTACAGTCATGTTATATGGTCTTTAGGTCTTACCGGTGTAGACAAAGCGTCCCGGCGCTCCTTTGCAGAACTGTTTGGATTTGTAGGACAGCGTGACCTCCACGACCCCGGGGATGTGACGAGGGGGAGTCTGGACCCGGATGGCATGAGGGGTGATCAGCTGGAAGATGAGAAACACAGATACAGATACAATCTAGGTCAGGACACAGTTACAAGTGGAGAACAGGAAGTGTCAAAGCTGGCAGGCATTTCTTTGTACTTGTGTACACCAGGTAACACTTTTGTGCTCACTGTAATGAAACCTGCAGTTTATTCTGTAATGACACCTCAACTGCTTTCACTTCTTCAGCTGAACATTGGGGTTCAGCTTATTCCAGTGTTCACACACAAATACTTCTACAGGGTTCAAACTTGAAACTAAAATTTGCACCTCAGCTGTCACGTTGCCAGTGACACCTGAACACCTCATACGTTGCCTAAACTTCCGCTGACGCTCAAAGTGCTTTGAGTAATTGAATTAAACCGTGACTCCTGTTTAACAGTTGTTGCTCAAACCTGCACATTTAGGGACTCATGCTGATTTTGAAGTTGAAGCTCTAAATTATCAGTATTGTGATGAAACCTGCAGCACGAGAGATTCTGTCTTTCTGGAACAAACTTTTTGTGGAAAACAGTCCAATCGTCTTCCTCCAATCTGGGTCAGCGTGCAGTCTGCGTTCAGAGGGATTCTGGGCTTTGGAGTCCGTCTGCTCGCCGCCAGACGACGCTGATCAAAGTGAGGATCTCGTCAGCGGTGTGTGATGTGAAGCGAACAGCGTGTGGAGATATATATCTTCCCTCCTTCCCCCGCCAGGTGTTCTGCTCTTCTGGACCAGCTTCAATATTTCATGGCGCGCCGTATGCGCAGCTCCTCCTGCACCTCAACACGCACTAAATCTACATATTTTTGGGGGCATGCAGACCTGGTGGAGCTGTACAGATACAGATGCAGGTGTTTCTATGAATGTGTGTGTGTGTGTGTGTGTGTGTGGATGAATGTGTGTGTAGATGAAGAAGATGGAGAACATGATGTACAGTATGTGCAGCTGCTTTCAGTACACAGACTCTGTGCCAAATATCGTTTTTTCTATGAAATTGCTGCGTCTGTTTGGTTTCATCGGATAAATTAAATGCAAATATTGCAAAACAGATTTGACTTGTGATTCACAGTTAAAAATAATTCACTCTGAGCTCTTCCAGAGCCAAACGTAACAGTCAGAAGTCAGTTAACATAAAGAGCAACATCAGGTTTCCAAAAGCATCTTGTAACAAATAAAATGAAAGTCCTCTCACCTCGCTCCAGACCAGCATGGTGCCGAAGACAACCTGCAGGCCATCAAAGAAGTTGTCCCCAATGAGGATGACGGTGGCCCCGCCAGTCGTCCAGCCCTCGCTCGGGCTGATTGCTTTGATGCAGGGCGTGGCTGCTTCGGATACACAGGTGACACAACAGCGTTGAGTGATACAGTTAGAAACATGGCCAAGAAATAAAATCACTTTAAATAATCTCAGAAAACTCAAAATATGCAGATCACATGAGTTATTTCCAACATTAAAAGACTGATTAAATAACACTAAAACAGCTTGGTTCTGGTTAACATCTCATTTTGGTTAAATTAGATGTTTCCACCATTTAAAGATTGTGTGAAAACATCTAGACGTTTTCACACCATTTTCACATGCCAGAGGAGAGGTTAACAAAAAGTATATTTAATTGGAATTAAGTACACAACCATGCATGGATCAGAGAGATATCTTCAATTTTTTCACTCTTGGATTTAAATGCATATTTTATGAATAATTTACAGTGTAATTTAAAGGTGGTCAAACAGAAACTGTCATTGTTACACCAACAGCAATGGAAGGTGGATATTTGGAAAAAAGCAAAACTGAGAAATTATATTCAGATTAAAAGTGAGTATTCCACTGAACCTTATGTTTCTTTTAATTTAAAGAAAGGACAGAGGTCCCTCTGTGCTCAACTAAGAGCGGGTGTTTTACCCTTGGCAGTTGAGGTAGGTAGGTATAAAGGTATTCCTGAAGAACAGCGATTGTGTGTGCTTTGTGACCTAGGAGTTGTGGAGGATGAATTTCATTTTGTGTTTCATTGTCCACTTTATCATGGTTTAAGAAACATTTTATTTGAAAAGATCCAGGTAAAGAATCCTGATTTGTTTTGGATATCTGAATGTTCTATGTTATGTTGGCTGTTTAAGGAAGAAGTGTTTACTTTAAGTAAGTTTTTGGAGAAGGCATGGCAGCTACGAAGGAGAACTCTGTATCCGTAAGCCGCATTCCGAGTATATTGACTGTATCCCTTTTTTTTTGGCTGTCTTGGATTGTAATATGTGTATTTTAAGCGAGTGTCTTGTAAGCCCGTGCGGGCTGGGCACCCTGGTGTGCAGGACACTTTAATAAATTTGTAACTAACTAACTAACTAACTCACTCATCCCACAAAGTGAAAAGCCAACAACTAAATAAAAACACTGGTTCAAGTTTGGTTTAGCAGATGCTAACATAGGTTAGCTAATAGTTCAACAGCTACCACAGTTTGTTTGTGGATAGCTAATGGTTTGGTATAGCAGCCAAAACAGATTGCTAGTGATATATCACCATTTCAGTTTTAGCTAGACAATTTGTTAGAGATTAGCAAACAGAAGGTTTGAAGAGAAAAAAAAACTGTTTAATTTTTCAGTCAAAAAGGCTTGTTTTTAGCAAAAAGTTGACTTTAATCAACTCAAACACATTTTTAGAGATTGCTCAAAGTCAAGGTTAGCAGCTACAACAGATTCAGGCTACCTTACCATTTAGTTTAGCAGTAGAACAGTTGGTGCATGTTAGCAGCTCAACAATCTGCTGGGTTTAGCTCACAGCTTCAGGTTTAGCTAACGATTTAGTTAAACAGCTTAAGCAGTGTGTTTCAGGGCAGCTAACGTTTAAATTAGTAACAGTTTGGTTGAGATTTAGCGAACAGTTTAGTTTCACAGCTAAAACTGTTTTAGAGTAGCTAATGTTTCAGAACAGCATACTACTACCAGTTTATGCTTACAGCTAGAACAGTTTGGTTCAGAGGAACTAACGTTAGGTTTGGCTCAGGTTTAGCTAACGTGTAGTTTAAGAGCTAAAGCTGTTTCAGAGTAGCTAACGTTACAGTTAGAACAGTTTGTTTGTCGTAAACTAACAGTTTACTTCTACAGGTAAAGCAGTGACTAACGTTTCAGTTAGGCTATATTCAAGTTCAGTTTAACAGCTATAGCTGTTTCCATGTAGCTAAAGTTACAGTTAGTTTACCAGAAACAAATTGTTAGCAGTGACTAACGTTTCAGTTAGGATATGTGCATGTTTAGCTAATGGTTTGGTTACAGCTACAGCTACAGTTTCAGAAAAGCTAATGTTTGAGTTAGAGCAGTTTGGTTCTGCTAAGCTAACAGTGTAGTTTTAAAACTAAAACAGTTTGTTTCATACTACGTGACAGAACAGTTTGGTTTCTCTTTACTGAATTAAAATCTTCCCTGCCTCGTAGAAATCTTGTTGTAATGAGTCAGGGTCTTAATTCAGACCACCAGCTTTATTTTCAAACTATTTCCTGTTTCCACTTGTGTCTCTGCAATTTGTTGCTGGAGAAATTCACAATTTTTGTATCAAACCTTGTACTTTAATAGGAAAAGTCATATTTTGAAGATGGAAAGAAAGAGTTACCTAAAAGATTTTACAAACTACAAAAGTGGGCTATACTTTTACCAGCTTATGTGAATATTTGCATAGTGTTTTTGTTGAGGGAAGCATTGTTATCACAGTGTCAGAACTGACTGACTGTGATTTACACTGAGTGTTTACACCTCTGTATATTAAAAAATATATATCATTATGCATACATTTACTACACTCCTGTTTAGACTTTGATCATTTATCTGCAATTACTGTCCAATTTATATGACTTTGTTTTACATCTTAATTATTTTATCTCTTATATTACCCCATACTATTTCATGTTTAGGTCCTCATTTTGTTTCTACATGATTTTATTTCCTTTTTATACAAATTTAATTAGTATTGTAAGAGGAGTCCTGAGACTTAAGATTTCCATTACCAACAACTTCTTCTCTGTAACTGTTGTGCATATGATAAATAAAGAACTTGAACTAGAGAAATCATCCAGCCTGCTGAGGTGTCCTTGAGCAAATCCCTTCCTTGACCTCTGACCTCTAACCACCCTGTTGACCCCTCAATACTCAATGTTAGATTTTCAGAATAAAACAAATCTTTAACAAAACTGCAGCTAATTACTGAATTCACAGAGAGCTTTCAGTCAGATTTCTGATCCACCAGCAGCCTGCTCATCCACTACTAATACATGCAAAATGATTGGTTTTTCCAATACCACAGAGATCAATAAGGGGCTCCACATAAACAGCGTCTCTATGATGACTAGACTGTTGTTGAGTCGAGTCAGACAGGCGGACGGACTCAGAGCTGCGAGGAAACAAGACGAGGCTCCGCACGTTTACAACCTTTTCCCGGACCGAGAGTCGTTTTATTGGGAGGATGATTTGATATTCCAGTCAGAGCTCTGAGTTTCCTTTTGTTTACTATGTGATCTAATCTATAAAGCTGCGTTCAGAGACTCTATTAAACATTACAGTTACTATTTTACCACTATTAGTGGAGTAATGTTCTTCTACTACAAGTTACTGGCAGTACAAGCTCATGGAGGCTATGTATAAATATGGATTAAACACTCTTAAACATAATCTTTTTATTCATTATTTTGTTGGTTCTTTATGGCTTCAAGAGTACGAAGGCCCTGATGTGTCCACAGACATTTTCTGCTGTGCACCAGATGGTACCTGCCATTTTGTGGAACTAGTTAGTAGTTTCTGGAGAGCACCGGAAATGTGCACCAGTGACCAGATATTTCCTACTGAGCAGGAAAAGTTTCCTGTCCACAGAAAATAGTTTTTATGGAGCATCAAATAGTTTTTAAGTTTAAGTTTCATGCGCCCTAGATTGTTTTCAGTACGCACACCTTACAAAAAAGGTTATTGCTATTTGCATCTTTCAGTGGTCATTTTGAATCTTGTCCTGGTCGATGTAACAGTAATTTGAGTGACATTTTGCAGATGAAGGCCACTGGGGCCCTGACACTTTGGGCCCCTGGGCCTTTCTCCAGTAGGCCAGTTCAGTAATCCATCCATGGTTGTAGGTTTAGATCTTTCTAATCTTGGAATAACAGGTGATGAAGTAGTGAAGTGTGAAGACTTTTTTTGGCATCCTGGCCTTTGAAAGCTTTATATTCTTAATGTTATTGTGACTGACAAGAACTCGTTCAGTCACCTCAAAGTTGAAAGACCAAACTGATATTTAAAGAGAAGGATCCTTGTTGCCCCCTCTGGTTCCAGTATCAACTTTCTGAAAGTCACTCAGAGTTTCAAGATGAAAGAAAAGAAAACCCCGAACCCTACAGCAGCAGCAGCAGAGGGTCGAGGCTTTTCCCGCCCCGAGGAGTTGATTGTCATCTCCTTATTAATTTCCCCCTTTTGTCACAGCAGTAAACAAACAGTCCAATGGATCTGGGGTGGGGGTGGGGGTGGGGGTGGCGGTGGTGTTGGTGGAAATGAGTGGAGCACAAAGGCGAGGAGCAGGCGGTGGAAAGTTTTATCGAGGACGCGGGGGGGTTGAGGGTTGGTGACAAAGGCGGGAGCAGATGTTGGGGCTTTTTATCGGCTCTGAAAACATCCCAGTCTAGATGAGATGAAAGGCCCCGAGGTTTCCTCCGTGGGCTGAGATACAGGGCCGTCTGGTAAACAACGGGCCCCTTTTGGCCCCTGCAGGACACCGTACAGTACGCAGAGTGAAAACGCTCCTCTACATGAATGTTTAAGAGCTGATTAGGGTCTCGAGGTGTTGTCTCAGGTAAGAAATCAGCTTGGTGAATGACATATCAGTGTCAAGTAGCATTTGTTTTATCCCTTTGGACGTGCCAGACAGGTGGGGTCTGCCACACAGGACAAACCAGTGAGAGTGAAGAAAGTTTGGGCAATCACAGCAGGGCAGCTTACTCTGCTTTTTTCTTTGATCAACAACCTTATCCTGTCTGAAATGCCCCCGGTGTGATAAACACCACCCGTCTGGTGCTGCAAGTAGGTTAAACCAAATGAGACAATTACATCATCTGCTTCTGGAAAAGCCTCAAAACTTTAAAACAAGTCAAAGGAAACTGCAGAGGTAGTCGTATGGGAGGTGAAAGAGAGAGGGCACGACGTCTTTTTGAAGTCTGACTGGTGGCAAATTGTTTTAGGGTTGGTTTTACTCTGTTGAATGTCCCAGAGGGGTGGAGTTTACCTCTCAGGACTAAAACAATGAGTGTCGAGAAGACAGAAGTTAATGAAACTCTGTTTGGTTGACTTTTCTGTGACTGAAAGTTTTACCTGATACTTTCTGATGCCCTGATATTGTAAGACCCACCCGCCTGGTGTTCCCAGCAGATTAAAACAAGCGCACAAGTTACACCATCTCTCCAGAAAAAGCTTTAAACTTTTTTAGTTAAGGGAAACTGCAGAGCGAGGTGGTTAGGGGGGTGAAAGAGGAGGGACACAACACAGTTTTTATGTCTAAATTGTTTCAAAAGAGTTTGTTTAACTGTGCTGTATGTCCCAGAGGGGTGGAGTTTACTTCACTGGACTAAAAAGATGAGTGTCTTTAAGACAGAAGATAATGAAACTCTGTTTGGTTGACTTTTCTGTGACTGAAAGTTTTACCGCATACTTGTCTGATGCCCTGACATTTTAAGACCCGCCCGTCTGGTGTTCCCAGCAGGTTAAAAAAAGGGCACAAGTTAGACCATCTCTCTTGGAAAAGCCTTGGACTTTTTTGGTTAAGGGAAACTGCAGCGCGAGTTGGTTTGGAAGGTGAAAGAGCGAGGACACAACAGAGTTTTGATGTCCGTAACTTGTGCCAAAAGGGTTTGTTGCACTCTGTTGGACGTCCCAGAGGGGTGGGAATGGTTCGGCTAAAACTACATGACAAGTGTCTGGAGCTTCAGACAGAAGTGCATGAAAGTGAAAGTTGGTTCAGTCTACTTTTATGTCACTAAGATGCTATCAGATGCCCTGAAATGGTAAGCTCCACCCGTCTGGTGTTCCAAGTAGGTTTAAAACAAACACGAGTTTCACTGTCTCTCCTGGAAAAGCCACAAACATTAAAGAAGTCGACGGAAAGTGCAGAATTAGTCGTTTGGGAGGTGACAGAATGAGGACCTACTTCTGGTGTCTGACTGCTGTCAAAAAGTTTGTTTTATTCTACTGTGTGTCCGAGATGGGTGGGGTTTACCTCACAGGATGAAATGACAGCTGCCATGAAGTTTAGACAAAAGTATGTTAAAGTGAAAATCATGTAGTCCCTTTTATATGACTTTCACCTTTAATTGATAGTTTCAAATGTCCTGGTACGGTAAGCCCCACCCGTCCGGAATCCTACTTAGGTTAAAACAAGTGAAACACTTATACCCTCTCTCCTGGAAGTGCTTCAAACTTTTACCTGAGTCAAGAGAAACTGCACAGCGAGGAAGGAGGGAGATGGAAGACACAACAGCTTGTTAATGTCGGGACCAAAAGCACTTTCAAGGGTTTGATTTAACTGTCTGGGTGTGCCAGACAGGTGGAGTTTACCGTACAGGATGACACATAAGTGTTGAGGGTTTTAGATGGACATGATCTGTATCAGAGAGTCAGTTTAGTTTAACTTTCCGCTGTCTGACATCTCACCTGAGACAATCTACAGCCTTTATATCATAAACCCCACCCATCTGGTGTTCCTGGTAGACAAAACAAGCAACACTTCTGTAAAGGTGTCAAACATGAAAGCAAAATGAGGGAAAACAGCAGAGGAAGGTGGTTTAAAGTTAAAGTTTGAAGATGTATTGATTTGCTTGATTAATTTTAGCAAGAATAGTTTGTTTTAGTCTCCTGTAGGTGCCAGGTGGGTGGGAACTTCCCAAGTTTAGGAAGGTTCAAAAAAAGCATATTGAAGTCGATGTAGTGACCCACATCTTTTGTGATGCCATCTGAAAAACCTGGTGCTGGTGTTGGTTAAGCTCCACCCATCTGGCACTCCAAGTGGGCCAAATCGAACGACTGACTTATGTCATCGCTCCTGGAAGTGCCGCAGTGAGGCCGGAGGGTTTTATTAGAGTGGGGACAGGGCAAAGTGGTATTAAAGTTTACCACTTCAGAGGAAATGTTACCGCTGAGCTCCGGCTCTCAGAGTCGAGTTTCATCGTGTGAAGTTTATACTCGAGTGATGCATTTTTTATTTGGTCGCTGCGGACGGTGGAAGAACGGAGCGTTTGTTCGGCGGTGCGGGACGTCCAAGGGGAACACGGGGCAGGACGGAGATGTGCCAGCAGCTGGTGGGGTTCATGCAAACCTGAAGTCTCTGGTTTAATCTTTAAAGGACTATTACTTCAAATTTACTTACTGTTCTATTTTACTGTAGATGATATTTGGCTTTTTTGACAAGTAATATTTGCCAGTTTTGCTTTTAATCAGTGAAATGCCAGGTTTCCTGTTTGGCTTCATATAAAGAGGTTTTTCTAACTGTCATTCCACTGATTTTACAAATGAAACTCATCAGGGTGAGGCTGAGGACTCTGTAGTCTCTGTGGGTCAGAGACTACAAAGATGTGTCTGCTTACCAGACAGGGAGGCTTTAATGAAAGACACCTTCCAGTTGCATTATGGGATATGTAGGATCCAGTATTTTTGGACTTCCAAGTCAGGATAACTCCACCTCTTCAGATTTGGGCTGTTCTGTTTTTAATCTGCCCCTTGCAAATCTAACATCTTTATAGTAGTTAAAAACTAAATCATTGGAAATTTTAAAGCTTTTAAATGTTTCATTGATGTAAAATAATTTAGAATTAACCAATATATTGAAGTGATCGGCCCAAATTGTCCTCTGACTTCTTTCTATGTAACTTCTGTGATTGCAAAGCAGTCCCAGGGTCCACTTTTTATATTTGTATGGATATTTTAAAGGAAATCTGCCTTATTTTGAAAGTATGAAAGGAGAGAGAGACTTGTGCTGATCTCTGAATACTTCTGAGCATGTGTCGTATAAATTCTGCTGTACTCTCTCATATCTTTTCACTTAGTAACTTCTGTGAGTTTCATGAGACTCCAAAGAGTCCGGACGCCTCAACCTCTGAGCGACGTCTAACCTTCAGAGGGGTCCAGGCGTCGGGCGCGGCGGCCATGTTTGGAGTTGTTGTGCACGAACATGTTGTCTGACACCGCCAGCACGTGGCCGTCAACGTTGACTGTAGTGGAAACCACCACCTGCACACACAAACACATCAGGGTCACTTGCAGCAGCAGTCTGAAGGATAACTCAGGTGTATCAGGTGTGTCTCTTACCTGGAACCTCCTCATGTCTCGTGGGTTTCCTGCATTTTTCAAACAGTTCTGATTGCACTTGAGGAAGAACTTAAGGAAGAATCTGCAGGACAAGAAAAACAGGACAGATTAGTGTTGGGCCACAGAGACGCAGATCCAGGATCAGAGAGAATGCTGCAGGTTTATGAAGTCAGGCTCAGTTTGACTTTACAGGACACTCATTTTACATCAGGAAAGATTGTTGTCTCATAATTCTCAAAGAAAATGAATAAACTGCTTCAAGAAATTAAACAAAAACACTTCCTTTTTAATAAATCTTTATTGAAACATACTTATAATAACACAGATATTATTCTGTAGCTACTGATGATACAAAGTGTATTCATATGTGAGCATGTTCATTTACTGCTGTTGTTATAAACACATTTTTAACCAGTTTTAATCCCCCGTGCCAGTGATTTATAAATGTGTATAACCACATAAGGAATGTTTTTTAACAGCATTTGTGTAGTTATATATTATTAAAAATGGTTTCAGTTATGTTTTATTGTTTATGCACCAGCTTTAGATGCTATAGCTGTTGACAAATACATTAATTAACACCTAAAAAGTCCTTATATCTGCTGACAGCTGCATTATTCTGTGTTATAAACCAAGTATGGAGTGTTTTTACTCTGTTTCGAAATGGCAGTTATTAAATGTAGAATTGATTGGAGGACAAAATGTAGATTTATTGTTGACATTTTTAAATTCTATATATCATCTTATTACAGGTGGACATGTGTAAAAAAAGTCAAAATCCAAACCAGGCGCAAACAAATTCCCAGTTTTACTGAACATAAATTCTTGTCTACTAATAAGACGTAGTTTATGAGATAATAAAAACACAGCTGATTCAGGTGTAATGAGACGTGCGTTAATCTTTTATTGGTGGTGAAGTAAAAACACTCCTTTCAGTTTCTATCTCTGTGGAGTTTCTGAGTGTCAGGTCACATCTCGTCTCTCAGCAGCAGATGAAATTATCATTCAGCGGCGGCGTCTTGATAAAGACAGTCGACACTTCCTGCAGACTTATGGCGTCTCATTAGGAACCGCCTTTTGATTTTTCCTCCTGCACGTCCGATCTCTCGTCCGCCGCGCGTTGATTTACGGCGATTTTTACGGCAGCAGAGGAGTATTGATTGGGAATGGATATCAATGAGAACGGGCGGTAATAACCCGCAGCTTTGGAGGAGGACACTGAGGGAGGGGGGTCAGAATGGATGGCCACCTTAATGCATTTCCCACTGCCTTGTAATCTGTGCACATCCATCTCTCGGACCATAAGCCCCCCCTCCCTTTCTGATGGAGCGCTTCCTTTTTAATTGCCACATTATCACAATAATAATCCGGGCAGTTAACAAGCGGCAAGGTCGTAGACAGACATGTCACATTAACCAGGGGATAACCTCGGCAGAATACCCACACCCATCTTTTCCACCTCCTCCTCCTCTGCCTGCTACAGCAAGGCATGCTGGGAGTGCACGGGGAGGGACGTGTAGATATTAATGGGGGCTCTGTGAGGTCGGCATCGATTTCCACCTTAATAAGACAGTAACAATATCTTTAAAAACACACAGCGGGAGCTCAGCCAGCTTTTCACTCTGTCTGATGGCATTTTCACAGTTTTATACAAGATACTGAATTTTTACCTTAAAATTCCCCTTAATTTACACATTAATACTGATGTCACTACGGTTTTCCTATTGGGTGGCTTTTATTATGAATTATAATATATTAAAGTTATTTTTCAGAGCTTTTTCATGACTTTAGAGGTAAAGAATAAAATGTACAAAAAACAGATTACCTCTTTACTTGTACTTGAAGTGTGCTTTAAAACAGATTTTAAAAGATATCGGGTCAGTTTAAAGTATTTCGTAAACACCTCTTAAAACTGACCACAAAACACAAAGCCATGACTTCAATTCATACCTCAGTTCTTAGGTTTTCCGACTATATTGCCTTAAAATGCTTAAAACAATTAAGATAACCCATTAACTTCCCTCTCTATATATTATGACCCATTAAATAAACCCCAACTTAAGGTTATCTTATGTGTTAATAGGGGGATACCTGTTATTTAGTCTGTGCATATTCTGTTTAACCCTTGTGAACCCCTTTATCCATGCCCAAAAACAATTTATATATTATATTTATTTACCCATCCATTAATCCCATATTTGCCCTTTAACTGAAATATTAAGGTTAATTTAAGGGGAATCTGTCATGTCAAACAAAGGGGTATCTTTAACCCTTTAACACCACATATCACCATCTATAAACATTAGATTATATTAAGGTATAAATTAGAAACCTGTATCTTAAGCATAGCTGTCAAGTCTCCCGTTTTGGCCGGGAAACTACCGTATTTTACCCCTCTTTCCCGCCGTCCTCCTGTATTAGTATTTTCTCGTAAATCTCCCGTATTATAATAACATAATAACCCTGTATTATAACTTAGGAATGTTCACAGCATTTCAGTGTCAACAAAGGTAGGCCTATCAGATTCACCTAATTGTAGTTAGTAAGTGGTTGACAAGTGGTTATTTTAGATTTCCTGTACACCTGTCTTGAAATGTAAGGGATACTGGAGCTTGGTTGGGGTGGTGGGACGGCTCGCGGCGGGCGCCGGAAAATTTCCCTTATTTTCAAATCCAAAACTTGACAGGTATGATCTTAAGATTGTAATTTTTTGTATTTAACACTCGACTAGGCTTTACTTTTTTACTTAACCCTTATGAACCACTTTATCCGTGCCCAAAGACAATTGAAATATTATAATATATTCATTTACCTATCAATTAATTCCAAATTTGCATTTTAATTGAAATACTAAGGTTAAGGGGAATATATCTGCATCTGGTGGCATTTTAAGACTTTTTTTAACCCTTAAAAGCCCCTCTTTAAATATCATAATCCATTAATATTTAATTAAACCCTAACTTACGGTTATTTTAATGTGTAAAGTTGTAATTTTTTTTAATTTTACACCAGGTTAATAAAAGGTAAAAAATAAGCGGTATGTGTCACATTGTATTTTAATTATTTTGAACCATTTCAAACCCCTTAACTGGTTCAGAAACCCCATTAAATGTTTTTCTACTGTCAAAGAAAGCAAACTGTCAGGTTTCAGTAAACTGGGATTTAGGTTTAATTTTGACATAAAGGGACGACTCATCCAAATGACCAAGAAACAGACATGTTGTTTTAAATGTTTAAAATCTGCGAGCAGAAAAAACTAAAGTCCCCTCACCTCCATCGGATCAGCAGAAATCTCACAGACAAATCTGCATGAATAGATTCCACTGGTTGTTATTATTTGGGTGAACTGACCCTTTAAAGAGACACAGTGAGCGTGGAGGAGGAGGCAGAGAGGTGTGTGTCTGATGTGTGTGTGTGTGTGTGTGTGTGTGTGTGTGTATCGACTGAAAGCTGATCTGCTGCTCTGGAGGCTCTAATGCCCTTTATGGCAGTGAACAGAATAATATGGAGCTCCATTCAGATGATACTGAGTCCTTCAGAGAGCTGATATGGATCAATACGGATTGAATTAAAACGCAGCTGGAGACAAGACCAGAGGCTCACACACACACACACACACGCACACACACACACACACACACACACATACACAAAAATACACACACTGACATACACACAGAGAGAGACACACACACACAAAACTACATGTACACTGAAATACGCACACTCTCATACACACTCACACACAGATATACACACAGAAATACACACTGACATACACACACTGAAATAGACACCGACACACACCTATACACATATACACACTCAAATACACAAACACACAACAAGCTGCTATATACACACACACACACACACACACTCACACACACACACACACAGAAAAACATACACATGGGTATACACACTGCAACACACACCCAATCGCACACACATAAAATACACCTAGTAACACACAGGAATACACAATGATACACACCTTTACACACTTTTAAACACACACACTGACACACAGAAATACACAAACAAAGATACACAGACAAGGTGCTGCTGAGAAACACACATACACAAATACGCACTCACACAGCAGAAATGCACAGTGAAACACATAAACACTGATACGAGGAGCTGCTGAGAGACACAACATGTACACACACACACACACACACACACACACAGAAGTATGCAGTGATACACACTGGTGTGCACACACTGGCAACAACAGACACAGAAGCACAAACACATAAACAAACATGAACACACACACACAAAAGTATACACTGTGAGACAGACATCATACACACTCTAATACACGCACTGTATGTTCAAACACACAACACTGCAACACACACAAAGACAAAAGCCAGTTTTACATTTACATTTTGTGCACGTAAACACATCACATCTAATGAAGAACATTGACTCAGCACTGTACTTAAAGGTATAGACTCTTTAACTGTTAGTAAACAGTATGACATTTTTTGGTGGGCGGGGCTTAGCTGGAGGCAAACAATTCTCCACAGACATTAGTTAGTGCTAGTTAGCAAGTTCTGTTAGCTTGTTTTAGATAATGGAGGAAGATGATGAGGGTGGTGCGTTCAGAAATACTCACTCAGAGTGGCAGAGCGCACTCTGGACACTCTGTCTGTGGAGACGGAGCAGCAGAGCGCCGAGCGGAGTGAATGTGTGATTAACTTAACCGTTGGTTCATTCATGTAGAAATATAACGCTGCGTTTCTTCCACCAACAGGGCTCTCATTTTAGTGTAGAGCGTCAGACTGAATTTACCAACGCACCATGTCAGGTCACTCACTCTCCGGGACCGCCAGTGTTACTTGAATAAGTAAACACTGACCAACGGGACCAGACTGGCCGACCCGTATGCTCTCACTCAGTGGATGGATGATGTCACAGGAAGCCAATCTTACAAAGGAGGACCACACTTGTTTGTTTTGCTATGGAAGCTAACGTTAGCTAATGTGCTAAAAAGTTAGCGTTCCAGAGAAATTCAATCTTCCTCTTAATCCCTCCCCAGTTTCTGATGAGGTGGACATGATAACCCTT